CCTTCCTCCCGCATCCCCCTTCTGTTCTGAAATGTGATTTGCCCTTTTCATATGTGTTCATTTTTTTTTAATTGTATCCTTTGGTATATATGGTTGTGATTATTTTCTTCCACTATTTGATCTGAGGAAGTGGGTCTGGCCCATGAAAGCTCATCATCTAATAAACCATCTTGTTAGTCTTTAAAGTGCTACATAGTCCTGTATTTTGTCTGTTTATAGATTTTCAACATTTCACTATATATACAGTGAATGCCAATAAAAATGATATCCTGTTTGTCTCCATTTTAAGTCAGTGGTGTGTTTTCTGGACTAGTGAATACACTAGTTGTACAGCCTTACATCTTGTAACACATCTGTGGTTGCCCACAACTTAAATCATTGCCCCTGGACAGTGCACCACAGTTTGATAGATGAGAAGCTCTTTGGTTCAGGGGAGCTTTTGTTGTTGTTGTGTGTTTGTACAGGTTGTTGTGTGTTTGTATAGTACCTAGAACAATGGGGTCCTGATCCAGAAATGTTCATCCATGGCATCCAAATAATAAATAATAAAAATTTGGAACTTCACAAAGCAAGTGAGGCTAGAACTCTAATCTTACTGCTCCCCTACCATTTGAGCAAGGGTGCATCTATACTGCAGCCTTAGCTTGGAATAATCTATACAATCTGAGCTATGCAAATTGCATAGTTTATTTCAAGTTAATTACAAAATAGCTTATTGATAGGGAGCGAAGTTTACCAGGACATCAGAATAGTGAGCACATTATATTTTGAAATAATGGGCTTGCTCAAAAGATGCAGAATAGCTATTTTGGGATACCAGAAGTATCCCGAAATAGCACTGCAGTGAAGATGTGCCTCTAAGGAGCAATCTTCAGCAGATTGCTAATAACTAGTGCCAGTAAAATAAACCAATCAAAAGTAGAAAAAAATATTTTTGCTGATTTTTCAAACCTGCACAGATCTTCACCTTTTGGTGGCAAAGAAATGTTCACAAGATGATTGTGAAACCTGAACATTTTCATTGAGGAACTTCCTTGTTAATGCAAAAAGGAAAAACTTAAAAATACAACAAATAGTCTAGTGGCACCTTAAAGACTAACCAAACATGTAGATGGTATCATGAACTTTCGTGGGCAAAACCTATTTCTTCAGATGGTACTCCAGTCATCTGAAGAAGTGGGTTTTGCCCACAAAAGCTCATGATATCATCTACATGTTTTGTTAGTCTTTAAGGTGCTACTAGACTGTTTGTTGTTTTTTAAATATAGTTAAGCAGTTCTGATTCTATCCAGCAGAGGGCAGTGCCCAGCAACCTACCCACCAGTTCATTTACTTCCTTAGTAGTTAGACAACTATAGATTTAAGGGACAGAGAAAATAACTAGGTGAGAGTAAGGCAGCTGGCAGGTTAGGATGTGTTAGTGAATATAGTGAATGAAAGATATTTGCACCATATGGAAGATGGGAGGCGTGCTATGCAAGCAAGCATTGCTTTGGGTGCACCCTAGAGCAATCGGAGGAGGTGAGGAAGTCCAAGGAAGAATTGGCAGAAGACAGTAACAGAGGATATTGATTGCACTGGCATCTTGTGGGAAGATGTACCATACTCAGCAAGCAACTGTAATCAGTGGAGGAGCTAGACTGTGCAGTGCATCAGTGGCAGAGGCTGAACTAAGGTAAGAAGATAAGAACATAAGAATACTGGGTCAATACTGGGTCAGACAAAAGGTCCATCTAGCCCCGTATCCTGTCTGCTGACAGTGGCCAATGCTAGGTACCCTCAGAGGGAAGGCACAGAAGAGGGAATCATCAAATGATCCCATCTCTGTCACCCATTCCCAGTTTCTGACAAACAGGCTAGGGACACCTTCCCTGCCCCATCCTGGCTAATAGACATCAATGGACTTATCCTCCATGAACGTATCTAGCTGTCTTTTGAGGCTGGACACAGCATATCCTTGAGGGTCTCTGGTGCCCAGGAATTTCAGTTTAATTCCCGATACTGTAACTATCCAGAGCTTACTAGCTGTCACTAGTATACACCATGGAAGCTATGAACTTCCTGTCAAAAGCTAGGCTACAGCACAGATTCTTCTGCTTCATGACTTGACCCCAAAACTTGAGCTAATGGATAATGTTCATTATTAGCACAGTTATGGATGGATTATTTATTATAGATGTTGTTGTATTTGGGGTCACAAGCACACAAGGCCTGTGATACTATGGGGTGCAGTTCTAATTGCACCCAGCAGAGGGTACAGGTAACAGACACACCAGACAGTCCAGTACACAACGTCAATCATCCTACATACAGTATGATAAATGATATTGTTACTTGACCACTTTGACCAGCTACTTAGTACTTGTGTGCAGTGGAGGGGAAATACAGCATC